TTGTGAACAGTTTGCTTTTTCATTTTTAAACATAAAACTTTAACCTTTTTGTCTTTTATTTTGATATCAGTTCACAGCTGTAGCTTTCAAATTGACTTGAGAGTTTCCCTACATTTTCTCGAGCACATTTTTTTTTTTGACAAATAAATTAAATTGTCAATCAATAACTCAATTAATTCTAATAATTTACAAATTAGATTTTTGAACAATTTCAAACTATTGTCCTAAAATGTACAAATAATTTGAAAAAATCTATATAAACAATTTTAAACAAAATTTAATGGAAAATTATTTCATTAAGTCTCAATTTAATGTCATCATGATAGCGACTAAAATATGTGAAAAAATATGACAAAAATCAAAATGAAAAAGAAGAAAAAATTATAATAAATATAAGTATATCTATGTATCTGTATGTAAGTACAACCTCATATACATATACATATTTAATAACATGCCAAAAAACATATTTTTAATGTTAAATTTTTTTTTTTAATAAATTTTATTATACTGAATGAGGTGGAGATAGTTTACTCAGCAACTTTAATATTGCTTTTTTTTTAAGGTCATAATCACTGCTTAGAAATTTCAAGTCTTCACTTTGTGTTGTACATATATGTATGTACATATAATTATGTATGTATATGAATGTAAATGGACAAAATACTATAAAATTTAAAAAAAAAAAAGAATTTTTAAATGCTATTTATTTCATATTCTAAATAAATATCTGTATGTACATACGAAGTACACATTTATCAATTGAAATAATCGCATCTCTGAAACAAGACTATAAGAAAAAACAAATTCTATGAGATAAAGTAAAATTTTTAATGCATAGTAATTTCAAAGTGTGGGATGATTTTGAATAAACTCAAGAACTATCAGTGAACTTCACAAGCCCTCAAATTTTTGATATGATGGACACTTTAATACTTATAATTAAACGAAAAGTAGCTTATAGAATTTTAGTTTTACATTTTTGCCGATACTGTATTGAATATAATAAATAATATTATGTGATGGAACCAACTATCACATATCGAGTTTTCGGAGTAAACGCCCTTCTCCATGGAAGTGAAGCGCATATAAATTATTTTTTGATTTATGATAGTATTGCTAATGATGTGATATTTTATTTGATATTTATTTATTTATGTATGAATGTACATAAGTAGTACATAATTTGCTATTACAAATGACTCCGTTGTTTCTATTCAATGTTTTTCATCAATTTGATTTGTTCTTCTTTTTTTTTTTAAAAAAAATAAAGAAAAAATGTGAATACCATAGTTTTATTTCGTCAGACATTATAAATATTTTTTTTATTTAAATTTTTGCTTTCTTTATTATTTTTATTAAAGTAATTTTGTTTTTTTTTTTTTGATTTTCCCTCATTTAATATGAGTCATCCTATTATTTTCATACTTTTACAATGTCCGATTCTAATAAATGTAAAAAACTTTTTATACAATTTTGAATACATGTTTTTTAATGGTGAAAAGGTTATTATTATTTTATAAAAAACTGATTTTTGATTTAGAAATTTGTAGAAAAAAGAGAAAAAATTTATAGACAAAAATAAGTATACTTATAACAACACTAAGTTGAGTTGAGTAATACTCGTATTGGAGCAAACTAATTTGAGCAGCAATATCTTGACATTTCTGTCAGCCGTGATCAATATCATTATGCTAGTATAGTAACAGTACAGCAGGTATACATGTACTTGTATATATACCATAATTTAATTTTATGACGGATTTTTTACAATATTATAATTTTTAAGTCATAAGCTTATTTGCAATTATACATAAGTAATTGATTACTGATACTAATATGTATGCTCCGTTTTTCGCACAGAATATTGTATTCGCTCTTTATTTTTGTTATACATACTGTGCTCATACATTTATTTTATATTTATATTTAGAAATATTTCCGGTAACATACATAAACAAAAATATAATTTTAATAAGCCTATTATTATTTTACTAAAAAATAGTAGCGTAATTTAAAATCAAATATTATATAAGAAAAGAAATTAGTAATTTTCAATATTATTGCGATAACAATAAAATACACACATTAAATATACATAAATATTATTATTATAAAAGTAAATTGCTTTTGAAAATTAAAAATATAAATTTTATTTCTTTAAATTTTAAGGTGGTTTCTATGAAGTAATTCATCATTGAAAAAATTCCGTCCCCTACTTATATACATTTGTATGTATGTAAGTAGGGGACGGAATTATTTAGAGTAAAAGTATATATATATATAATTTTATAAATGGTAAATGATTAAAAAAAATTGACTTCGTCGAAATTTCAGATAAGAAAGGCTGAACCGATATTGGTAAAACTTCATACCTGAATTTATTTTAACTGATTAATCAGCTTGTAACAGTAGAGTTTTTTGGAAAAATCAAGTTAGTAGAATTTATCTTTCGAAATATAGTTAAATATTGTAATAATTTATTCCTTATCCTCTAAATTTCCGAAATTAGAATTTTATGAAAAAAATCATGAATCATGATTTGATCTCATTAAATTGTTTTTAAATCAGGCAGAATGTAGGGCAATTATCCATTCATAATTCATTCATAAGTAGAACAAAAAATCAAATTAAGATTTGGATTGGAGTTACATAAAGGATTATATTAAAATAAGAATATCTGGTAGAAAAATTTTGTATATACAAAAGCCTAACCGTTTTCTATGACCATACAATCTGTACCTACTTACAATAATTTTAATATTTTTACACTTGATTCATTTTATTTTACATTTTTCTTTCTTTTAATTTTCAATTCAGTGACAAGATTTTGTTTTTTCTTTTTAGTTCCAGGAAAACATGACACAATTCTTTTTCATTTCTTTTCTTTACTTTTGTGGCATATAAATTTACCCCAAAGTATATTTAATATACAAATGCATTATATTTATAAAATATTATTAAAATATATAATAATGTATGTAAATATGAAGCGTAATATAATTTGATACACATACTTAATATGAATGAATAATGTTGTAAAAAAACAAACAAGACAAAAATTATAAAATAAGAAAATTTATAAGGTTGTTTCCTTTATTTGTAGTTTTCAAACATTTATGTAAGTGATTGAGTGAAATATGTACATATGTATATTTATGCGTATGAATCGTGAAATATAAAATTTTATTTGAATATTTTAATATAACCTAATTTTCTTAAAACAGAATTATCAATAAACTCTTAGGTATTACTCCTAACTCCACTATAAATAATTTTTTCTATAATTTTTAAAATATTTTACAAGATCAGGTTAATTATTTCTGAAAATTCAATTCTTAAAATTAGAACTGAAAAGTTTTCCCTGCATTATGCACAAATTAAATGTTAAGTTTTGCAGTTCTAACCTTAAGAACTGAATTTTAAATTCTGTTCTTAATTAAAGTACAGATTATCTTCCATCATTTATAAAATGAAAAATTTGAATTTAATACAATATCCTAAAATTAAGTCTTAAAATTTAATTGAAGTAATTCACCTATGCCCAAAATCTTATGTTTAAGACGTGGCCCAATATAAATATGTGTCTTAAAAGAATTCATGCTTTAAAGGATATGTGCAAGTTAAGTATACATACATATACATGTCATGTACTTTCTTTGATAAGTATTTGATCTGAATCAATTTAATTAAAATTAAATTTAATTTAAATAACTAGAATAAAAATATTTGTTTAGTAGTAGATACTCCATTCATTTACTAAATTGTTTAAGTACTTGTATTATATATTTACGTGATAATATCGCTATTTTTATCAAATTATCAAATGTATGTTATACCTGTCTAAAATACTCCATGAAATGTATTATGCATGTGTTGGCAGCATAATAACTTAGAAAACGTATTTAATCTTTGTCTATAATCGATTTTGTAAATAAATTTTTTCTTTATTTTCTTATTCTTTTCTAGCTTAAAAAATTTTTAATAAAAAAAACAACATGTTACCTGTAACATTAAAAAAACCGGTTAACAGAAATCAAGTTTTGTTCTTTTACAAATTTTTTACTCATGTAAATGGCATAAATATAAATACAATAAACTATTAAATTAAATATGTATAAATTGAATTTATCGTAGATACTACAAAAGTAGTTCTAATATCTCAAAATTTAATTATTGGTAAATGATTATGAGTTTGATAAGTATGTTTAAAAACTTTTAAGTAGCAAAAACCAGGTACGATTAAAAACCAATATTTTGTAACCTACATAGGTATACATCAGTACATATACTTTTGTATTTGTGTGGTAAAACTACTTTCTTTTTAATATTACATATTAAATAATAATATACTATCAATAATAATTTACAATAAGTTCTTAATAGGAAAATGTTAAAAGTGCAAGAAGAAATGTTATACAAAGATATTTTAAGTGACCGGACCATTACTCACAATGACTTATAATGTGAGCCCCCTTTTTTAAACAAAATTTTAAAACAATTCTAAATTATGATTTGATATCATAACCGATTAAAATTGAATTAATTTTTTAATAAAAAATTTTACATTCATGTGGATTTTTTTTTAGAACACTTATAAATAAATTTCTAAATAATAAGTAAACTTAGAATTTGAACAGAATACTTGTATAACCGCAACACTATATAATGTCAGGTAATATTCAAAATGAAGTTTTATTGATATTATATGACGTCATGCTACGAGAGATTCTTTCAATAGCACTTGTTAAAGAGAATATGTGAATAAGTGGTATTAGGTACAACGAAGTTTTGAATTCATTGATGTTCACAGTATTTTCGTTATTTTAATTTAAAATCATGTGGAATCTATAATTTTCAAAAATCTAGTTGCAACACAAATATCATAATGTTATTTAAAAATAGCTACTGCTTTAAAACCAAACAGATTTTTACATAATTATTGTGATTCATTTGAAATATTATTGGTGGATATATATTTTTATTTAATTTTAACTTACCTGATTTATTTTAATTATTTTAGAAGTAATCCTTATATATTGAAAAATTGAAAAATAAGTTGTTATATCCTTTTTAGGTCAATTGTTGCGGTTTAGTCCAATAAAATATAAAAAATACAATGAAATTTTCATTCTTAAGCAAGCAATAACTTAGTTTTCTATTAATGATTAAATTATTGTATAATGAATTTTTTTTGCCAACTTTTATACTTGTCTACGTAAAACACTTTTTGCTGCTTTTATATTTGGCACTAGCTTGCTTAATTGACTGCAGTTTTCTAAAAATGGATGTTTTAATAATTCATCTGCGGTTGCTCGACGATCTACTTCAACTTGTAAGCATTGATTTAAGAAATCACGTAATTCTGGAGATAATTTATTCCAACTTTTAACATCTGGTCTACCATTTGCTGCTATTAAATATAATGCTCTTAATGGTGCTTCATGTAAATATGGTGGTTGACCTTCAATCATTTCAATTGCCATAATACCAATAGACCAAATATCTACTTTTTTACCATATTTTTTTCGTGTTACTACTTCTGGTGCCATCCAATATGGTGTACCAACCATTGTTTGACGTTTTTCATCACCTTCAATATTAGCACAGAAACCAAAATCTGTAACTTTAACAGAACCATCCATACCTAGAAGTACATTATCTGATTTAATATCACGATGTATAATCCCCTTTGAATGAAGGAAACTAATGGCATATAAAACTTCACGACATACAGCAGCTATTTGCGGTTCTTTCATTACAGTTTCTGTAACAACATCAGTTAGTGGACCACCATCCATATATTCCATTATTACCCACAGTTGTTCTTCTGGTTCCAATAAATATGCATCTAAAAAATTAACTAAATTTTTATGATTGAAATCTTTGAGCACACGGATTTCAGTTAAAATTAGATCTTTAGATGATTGACTTTTTAAATCAATTGTTTTAACAGCTACAACACTATCTGTATGAATATCAGATGCAATAAATACAATACCCGATGCACCTTTTCCAACTTCTAATTTAGTTTTATAACGTTCTGTTGGATCATCTAAATTACAGATTTGTCTTAATTCTTCATATACTTCTGAGTCAGACTTTTGCGTACGTTTTTCTTTCGAACGACGTAAAATATTTTCATCTTCAATGTCTTCGTTTTCATTATTTACACTAGTAAATGGATCTTTGACTATAAAAGTATCAGTTTTATTTTGACTTATTTCAGCACTTGATAAAATTCGTAAGTCCTGTACACCTTTAGTTATGTTTTTACTACTAATAATTTTTGGTTTTGGTAAAATTTGCGGTTTGGGTGGTAAAGTTGCTGCTTTTTTACTGGGTAGTGGTGGTGGTATATCATTTTGTGATGATTCAGCTGAACTTTCTTCACTTGATTCTGTTACTGATCCAGTACTTCCTAAAGAATCTTGACTTTGATGAGCTGTTTTTGAATTAATAAATTTGTCAATTTCATTTGATTCTTCTTGAATTACTGCTTCTGTAAATAATTTTTTGAACGGCTCTTGATTATCTTTTTTCTTTATTGAATAATTATAATATTTTATGGCTTGGTATGCTGCATCTGGATTTTTATTTTGTTCATCCTGTGTTATTTGTGCATTCATTAAACGTACCCATGATGCGGGTAATCCTTCTAATTCACCAGTTAGTACATTTTTACTAACATGTACATTTCGCGTAAAATTTGTAGGTCGACCAATTTCCGAAATTTGATCTTTTTTCTTAAACCAACGATTAATCATTTTATAAAAGTTTATAAGTTCAACAGAACCGATAATTTATATTTTAAAACAATTCCAATTTATTGATAATTATAATTACACTTAAATATTAAAAGAGGTGGGTGACTCATAAGTAGTAGACATCAGCCCTAATAATGGAATTCCAATTGTATTTATTTTATTTTTATATAAAAGGCATACAAAATTTTCACTTTTAATTAATTTTTAGTAATTTATTAAAACCAGTTTAATAATTTTCTAACTAAATTTTCTGAAAATTGTTCATTTTTATAATAAAACAAAAATGTTTTTTAACAATAAAATAAGAACAAAAAAAGGAAACAACGTATAAAATAATATACCGAAAATTAGAAATTCACAACGACAAGTCGAACAAGAACAATACTACTGCTACTGCCTTCTTCTTTTTGTTGGATTGTAGTATTTGAATTACGTCGTGAACTTACAGGAACAAAAAGAAGATGGCATATCTGACATAAGTTGCCATTGAAAATTTAAAATCTCAAATGTCAAAGTAATTATACTTTGACAGTAAAAGAATTATATTGGATATACATAATTTATGTAAATATCTTATGGGTATTTTTATATGACACGTTTACATTATATTATACATGTACCTACATTTTAGGCAAGTTTGCATATGTATACTAAAAAATCTTGAAAATAAAACAGTTTTAATGTACATACTTTAGAAAAGTTATGTTCCAAATTGACAACAAAAAAATTAATAATTTTTGCATAAAGAGCTAAATTGAGTTCATGCTTGCAGTTCTCAATACAATGCAATGGAACTGAAAAAAGCGATACTGATGAAAATGCCTATTTAAAACAAATATTAAATTGAAAAACTTAAGTCGTTGTGGGTAAAGTCTGCTGACTGTTTGCATATCAGAATGAAATTATGTGATGCCGTTCACACTTTACGTCAAAAATTAATAATTTTACTACGAAAATTATAATTATAACAGAATGTACCAAGAAATATGGATTGTCGCTGCTTCACTTTTAAAAAATCTGACAGAAAATCTAGATAGAATACATCAATGGATTTATGTATACAGTTTTCAGCGGAGTCGTAGATTTTGTCGTATTCGTAATATAAATAGTTACAAAATTTTCGCAGAGATACAAACTAAAACCAACCGTTTCCACGGTTTTCTGTTGAAAAGAAAAAAAATATTCTCTTTAGTTCAAAAAAATTTATATTCAGGAATTATCAAATCAAACCAAATTTTATATATACAATTTTTTTTGCTTTTTTTATATTTTAGTTTAAAAACATTTATTAGTGATCAACTTTATTGGATTTTTTTGTTTGTTTCTTTTGTTCTTTTTGTTCTGTTATATCAATTATATTTTTGTTTTGTAATCGCTATAAAGATTTTCAATCTTTGTTTTTTTTAAATACATCAATTTTGGAGTTTTTTTTTTAATTTTTTATGTTATTTTTTTTTGTTTTTATAATTAAATTCTTATTCTCTATAAAAATCAAAAATATAAATTCAAAACAGAAAAAAACTTAAAAATGGTACGCTATATTATTTTAAATCTCGAATTATTTAGTTTTTTTTCTTTTTTTTTTAGTAATTATTAAAATACATTACTTAAATTTAAATGTTTGATACCCACGTATAGAGTTATTTTCATTTTTCTATATATTTATCCATTTAATTAAATATTTTTATATAATATTTTCTATATAAGTAATATTTAAAAAGGTAGTTTCGACGGATTTATTTTACAAAATTTACAATTATTTATAAAGCTGTGAGTATATTTTTTTTTAATATATAGGTTTTTTATTCGTTCGGAAATAAGATCAAAAGATTGTGTTTATTTACATTATTGTTTGTATAAGGTGAGTCAGTAAAGAGTACAATATTATATATATAATTTGATATCGAGGATTTCAAGCATTTTACTAGCCCTTTCAAAATTATTCTTTTAAATGGAAAGTTATAAATAAAAAAGCCTTGGGCAATTAGAAATTTCGTGAAAATTCATTGGAACTTCTGTATCTCGGAAACCTTTCAGGTTTGAGATGTAGTTCCAAACAAAAATTTAACTCATTTTTTGGTGCCTTGAGTGATGAAATATAATGTTGTGCACTTTACTGAAAAACTATGTATAAAAATAAATCCGACTTTTGTTTCATTTCAGCAAAATGTTGAAAAATAATAAAAAATGAAAACATTGAAAATTAAATTTTTGAATGAAGTTTTAACAAATTTTTCTAATGTATTTAGAATTATTCACTTTAATTATAATTAAACGATTGGCGATCATATTGTTTTTTTTGTAATATATTAAACATATTTTATTACTTGTAATTTAAAAAAGTTTGACTTTTTTTTTTTAAACATATTATATAGATAGATTTTTTGATCCCGCACATTCTAAATTAAGGCATATACATATATGTATATATATATATATATATATAAAATTTTAAAATCGTCATCGTATATTATATTTTATAATATTATTTTCTAAACTCAATTTAGTTTGTATTGTATAAAAAAATGAAAAGAAAAAATTATAAATATTAAATTCCGTTTTGTTAACTTTACTATACAATAAAATTATTTTCAATATAAATTTAGTATATTAATAGTTTTTATTAATAATTTAAAGTTTTCTATTTATAAATGTTTTACGAAGTTTGTTTGTAATAATAATGAAAGTTTATTAATTTTGTTTTTTTTTTGTTCTTATATTTATTTTTAATTAAATACAATCTATTATATTTTAATTATTTTATTCAAATTTATATTGATTTTATATAAATTTTAACCACATAAATAATTTTTATCTATATATAACTACAACATTTTTTACCTATGCATTTTATTTATATAAATATACAGAATTTAAATTTTTTATTATTTATATGCATATTTATATTAAATTTAATATTAAATCTTTTTAATTGAACTTATTACTCGTATGTTGAAAATTTTTATATATTGTAATTGGACAGAATATCATAGAGGATGATGTTTGGGATACAATTGGGGGAGTCAATGAGAAATGTCTTTAAAATGTTTTAAATTATAAATTAAAATAGTACTATTAGCACTATTATATAATTATAGAATTTGAAATAATATAATTATGTAATATTTATTTACTAGCATACACTATAAGAGAATTCGGTGTCAGTTTTGTCTATTCAATTATACAAATAAATATTGTAAAGGGAAAAATTACATTTTCATTATGAATTTAGTGTATCTAATTAAAATTTTTTCATTTAAATGTTATTTATTTTACTCTATTACAATGTTTAATTTAAAAGCAAAATTTTTAATTGAATATTATACTTTTAGCAAAATTTAAATATATAATAGCTATGCCATAAAAATCCGGATAATCCTAAATTGTTTGTTTGGAATGTAGTTAACGACATCTACAATTAATTTCATCAAAATATAAATGTCATTTGGTGTCGCTACATTATACATTGTTTTATTTCCATTTAGTTTCATTTTGTTTTGAAAAAGTTGTAATAATAAAAATTTTTTTAATTTAAAATATTCTAATAATAGTTATATTTAACAAAGTTTAAAAAAAAGTAGAACAATAGAGTTATTTCTTATATAATAATTTATGAATTATTATACGTGTACATATACGATTATAATATATGAAAATTATATGTGTTACTAGTAAAGGTAATTAATTTTTGTTATAATCTTTCTTATTTCAAACTGTACATAAATTTAATACGTATATGAACTACACAGCGGATTTTTAAAAATTAAACTGTGTAGCGATAGCACAATGCAGCAATATTACAATGTTAAAGTAGGTGAAATTTGTATCAATAAATTATTGCTGCAATCTTGTAGTTTAATTAAAATGCACATTTAAAGTCAATTTGATCTTAATCACTACAATTTTGTCAGTCAACTTAAAATGTAAATCTGTAAAACCTAACGTCAATTTAACCTATAATAAAGCAATTTAAATTTTATTGTCGAATAAAATAAATTTGATTTGTAAATGTCAATTTTGACAGAGATGTTTATTATTATTTTTATAGAACACTTTTCTTGACTTGAAAATTGTATTTTAAATTCAATTAAAAAGATTTTCACAATTATTGTACACATATACATACTAGTATTTATTATCAATATGTTTTGTCTTTTTTTTTAATTTATTTTTGACAATTTAATTCTACTTGTTATAAAAGAGTAATTTTTTGTTTTCCGTTTTGAAAATATGAAAAATTAATTATGGGGGAAAAAAATCAAATTTTCTTAATTTGTGATTTTGAATTTGTTTTTTTTTTTAATGAAAAACATAAAATGATAATTTTTTTTTGACTTATTTCCGAGCGATTTTATTTTTTTTTATAAAGGACTTAGTTTTTTTTATAGTGTTATTTTTTTTTTTTCATTTTTTCAAGATTCTTTGAGCTTTATTAAATTACGAACGATTTTTTCCTTTAGTTTTCTCTTATATTTTTTCAGTTGTTTTATTTTTCTTTTTTGTTAAATATTGACTATAAAATTTTTAAAATTTTTTTTTATATTAATAATTTTTTTTTATAATTTTATACATTATTATAAAAAAATTCTGTATATATATTTGTTTGTATCTAATTTTTTTTTTGTATATAATTTTAAAAAAGGTAGAAATTTTTTTTTATTTATTTTATATATTTTTTTTATTAAGTTTTTCTACATCGGTAAAATTATTGTGTTGTGGGTTTTTTTTTTGAAATTATTATAGTGAAATTAAATTGGTACGAAATAAGTGTTTATGTTTTTTTTTTGTATTTGAATTTTAGTGTCGAATATGGTTGTGTTAATTTGGTTTAAAATTAAAGAAATGAAAAAAAAATTAATAAATTAATAAAAATGTACATAAAATTTTTATATAGTAAAAAAAAAATTAAAACGAATGATTTTGATTATTTTATTTTCTATTATTTTTTAAATATAAACTCTAATATATTTTAAATTGTCCGTAAAAAAAATATTATTTTGAAAATATCAATTTAATTTTTTTTTATATTTTTATTTTATACTCTCTGTTCTTTAATAATTTTACATAATGAAACCTTCCAAAACCAAGATTATTTATTTAAATATATTATGTATATACGAGTATATGTATGTATATGGTAGTGTGGTGGTATGTGTACATTATTTTGTATATAATAATGATTTATAGAAAGAAAATATAATTCGGTATATTTGTTTGTTCATTATAGATCGGAAATGCTTTTTTTTTCTACAAAACTTTTTTTTCTTTGAATAACTATATTTGTAAAAAAATATTTATTAACTTTTTTATACAAACTTAATAAATATTTAAAAAATTTGATTTTTTTAACAATAAAAAAGAAATATGAAATTTATTTTAATATTTTTATTATATAGAGTTAATTGTGCTAAATTTTAAAGTCATATTAATATTAGGTCCTCCGATTTTTTTGAACCGCTTTAGTGATTTCTTATATGTATATGGCGGCAAACTATAAAATTATTGTTTGTTTTTTTAAATTAACTATAAAATTAACTATAATACGATCTAATATATGAATCTTGTATTGCTTTTAATAAATTAAATATAGGCGTACAATAAAAACATAATAAATAATAACGTAAATAAAACATAATTATTTGTATACCTATATGGGTAATAAATCGGGGAATTCCAATTAATTAACAATAATTCAATAATTCTCTATATATTGATAAATATAATTCTCTATTTATAGGAAAAAAAATATAACACGTACGATATATATATTATGTAATTTGTATATTAATTATTTGATTTTAAATATAGTTTTAAATAAAAATTTTAATTCTTTGATTATGTGTTTAAAATATTTGGTTTTATTGAATTATGTTATAATATGTATATGTATGTAGGTTTATGTGTCTTTAATTTGTTAAATAAATCAATATAATATTCTTCTGGTAAATATTGTAAATTTTTTTTCTTGTTACAAATATATGGCTTTTTACTAATATATTCTTGATATAATTTCTCAAACATTGTAATAATTTGTAAGTTTAAGATTAAATAATTGCTATAATATATAGTTTGTCCTTTATGTAAGGCATTCTATATATGTATATACATATATAACATATTGAATGATTTTAAAAATTATAATTTAAATAATTATTTTCAATATGTTATTAAAAAATATTTAAAATTAAAGGCATTTTATAATATTTTTAACAAATATTTTATAAATACATTTGCTTTTTGTCATATAATCAATTATAAAAATAAGTAAATAAAAAACAAAATGTCGAAGGTATCATTATGAACAAAACAAAAATTGTATATATTTTATACAATATTATTATTATTTTGTTTTATTAAATTAAAATAAAAGAAATATTATGAAATATAATTATATAATACAATTATATACGTTATAATATATAATTTAATGTTATATATTTTTATTAATTTAGTATGTTTTTGTGTTCTTATATTTATAATATATTTTTGGTTCTAAAAATAGTTTTACAAAATTTAATTTTTAATTTTTTTTTTATAAAAAAACAATTTGAAATATAATAAATTATATTCATATATAAATGGTTGAAAAATTTAATTATTATCGCATTAACTACAAATTTTTATTTTAATTATTTTTAACAAATATGTGTCATTGAATAAAATTAAAAAAAAAAAATAATTAAGTTAATAAAAATAAAATTATTAAAATATTGTATTTGACAATTTTATATAATTTACTAACAATCTATATACAGACTAATTTTTTTTTTCATATATTATTAATTTTAGAAAAAAAATTACGGTTAAGAGAAGAAGAGCAAAGCAAGATGAATTCTTAAAACCTTTGCTTCTTATTTTTATAATTATCATAAAAAAATTAATTTAGGTTTTCATTCAAATAAAAGTAATATTTTGCTTTTTTAATAAAAATGATTTTAAGTAAATTAAATTAAAGCTACCTATGGACATCAAATTAATTAAAAATATAGATACATAAATGTTTATAAATATTGTACAAAATTATACTTGTTTTATGTAAAATTTTTTAAATGAAAAATAATTTCAAATAATATAGAAATTATTTTTTTTACAAAATTTTAAAATTATAATCGGAAGATCTTATAATCTAATTTTTTAGATTTCTTTAATTATTTTAATAAACAAAAATTTTAATATCGAGAAAATCTAAGACAAAACCAAAAAAAAAAAAGCAAACAAAAACAATGAATCACTTATATTTGACAATATTGTATTAATATAGTAACACTATCCGCTAGTCATATGTTACAGGCCGACAAGTGGTGAATATGAACATAACTAAAATAAAAAACAAATATAAATATTTATAATATAAAAAAATTAATATATAATAGTTGTATAAGACTTACTACAAAACCATACTTCGACGAATAGTAAGGCTAACATTAATGAAGACAAAACATACTCCAATTTTAAAGTGTATGTTTGAAAGAATAATAAAAATATTACTTCTGCGATTGATGGTAAAATTAATATACAAGATAATATTACACGCCAATCTGAAAATAAAAATATGTAAGTAAAATTAGTTATTTAGTTTATTGAAATATTGAATGTTTTATTAATAATTTACAATTTTATTCAATTGTAGTTTTAGTAACTAAAATTATTATTGCAAATCTGAATAAAGCAAATGAATATTTATTTGTAAGTCCTCGTAATAAGTCAAAATGCGAATCGTGTGTATATATTATATACTATAACAAAATTTTTTAGGTATACATATACATATATATATATATAATATATATAAAGCAATTTTTACAGGTTCAGATACAAGAAATGAAAAGCAAGTCGCTGACAAAAAAAAATTAACAAATTCTAACGGTTCTTCGTGGGTTGAAAAAAAATTTTTTTAAATTTGTAAATTACAACTTTAACAGAAAAATTCATGAATATAATTTTCAGTTAAGATTATGACTAATTTTTGTAATACATCAAAGAAAATATTGTAGTTTTTTGCAATTTTGATATTACAACAAGACATTAATTGTGATTAGCAAAAGCATCAGGAGAATTTAATTTATATTTGTTTAATTTATATTGTTCCTCAAGTGAATATACATACACACATACATAATTAAGTGTCAACACAACACGCGTACATAACGTTCTTATATGGCATGTAACATGTATACATATGTAACAACATTGTAATTTATTGTAGTTATTAAAATATATCACCTACGTATTATTGAATTTAATGTGTGTGTCTGACTGTAATTACTGTTTAGGGAATAATTATGTATAACTAATAAGGTTTAAATTTAAAATTTTTTTTTTTGTTAATATTTTGTTTCTTAAAATATAACATAAACTTAAAATTTAAAGAAATAAATCTTTCACGAGAACGAACCTCGTCCCCTTGTTTCCGATTATTAAATATTATGTTCAATATGCACAATATTTCATAGAAAAGAATATCTGCACCTGAATCGGAAATGAAATGTAAGGTCATCAACACCATCAACAGTAAATAAATTTGAATATTGTTAATTTTAACCTGTTAAACATCCTTTTTCGTTTAAAACTATAGATAATCTCTCTTCCCCCTGCCTTCACTCTCATCAAAAAGAATCGTAATTTTCATCAGGTAAACACAGTTTCAAACAAATTTAAATGCTTTGCAATTTGAAATCTTTTGGATTGACATAAAATTTTTATACAAATATATTAACATTTTTTTTTTAAGTATGTATATTATATTTATACACGTTCACTAGGTTTTTGTAGCAAATAGAAGTCATTTATACATGCGTGTTTCTTATAAATAGCCTATATTATAATATCTTTCTATCACATATGTTAAAGTATCGTTATATAAATAAAATAAATAATTTTGGTCCAAGCCTTTATTCAATAAAATCAGTCAAAATAAAAATATCGCCTTTAATCATTTTTATCTTCTAAACCGGTTATGGTACAGAGATCTATGTACGTATATTGTGAAACAATTATTTTCCTTCCTATAATGAAGTTCTAAACGTCATATGTATATATTTTTTAATAAAATTTTATTAAATTGAAATGATTATTAATTAATTATTGTTATAAGCTACTAGAATAGTATAATCAAATTAAAATTCTCTTAGTGCTATTATAGTATAAAAATTATTGAGCCTCTACTTATTTGTTAGTACCTATGTATACTATATTATAATTTTATAACTGCGTATAATATAGTATAATATATAGTAGATATATATAGTCTATTATAGATTAAACATTACCTCGATCAGCTAATGCACCACGTCTACCCAATACAATACGAATTGTCTCTAATATACAAAAAGCAACTAATAAAGTTGATTCTTTGGCTAGTGAATGATTTTCATAACGTAAATTAATTGCTTTCAATAAACCAATTGATAATTCACATGATGCGAACATTCCAAAATAAAATGAATTTAAATATATTAAAACTTCATAAGCTAAACTTGGATTTGACATTTTATTAAATTTTTTTTTTTAAATTTTGTCTAGGTTAATTTTTTTTTTCTTCAACTTTTTTTAATAAAAGTGGCAGTACTTAATTTAATGAAAATTTTTGTTCTACTTTTTATAAAAAGATTTTTACAGTTTTTTTCATATTTAAAAATAACTTTTTTATATTTACATATTACTCATATATATATATTATATATGTATATATTGTGGCATTACTTTGAATTTAATTATACTTCAAAAAAAAATATATAAAATAATTAATGAAAACAAAAATTTATAATTCGATTAATTTTCATATTTTTCAATTATTTTAATATTTGAGAATTATCAATTTTTTCTTTCTTTTCATAAATCATTTATGAAAATTTACAAAATCCACTTGAAAAATCATTATATTTTTTTTTTATTAATAAAAAAAAAGAAAAAATTTATCTTAATTTTGTATGAAATTTTTGTTCTTAATTTTTGCGAGAAATATATAAGAGGTTTTTTCAAAGACTAAAAAACTAAAAATAGATTTTTGTAAATTTGTTCACATTTCTGTCGTAGTTTCGTATGGGCTTTCTAATTTAAATTATAAAAAAATATTTTGTATATATTGTACGCGCGAATATATATACGTATGTGTGTAAATATATAAGCATATATTATGAATTTTTTTAATTCTGTTTATTTGTTTGTTTGTATACGTTTAAATATCTTTATTTGTAACATCAAAAGTACAACACTAGGTGGCTCTTACTATAATAATGTACTAAATATTTACCGTAAATAATTTGTATAAGAGAACCAGCATTATGTATGAATAGTTCAAAATTATCCTCTGGGGGTGTTTTAGTTTCTTTTTGTTTTTTTTTTTCCTTTTATATTAAAATATAATAACATATTTTTATATGTATATTTGTTTATATATATATATATAGATTTTTAATTACATATTATAATGATTATAATGATATGAGGTAATTTCATTATTCTTACGTGACTTTTAATAAGTTAAATGTAGTTTGACATGCATATTTTGTATATTATATTAAATTTTAGAAAAAAAAACTCTGAAATACTGTGTATATTAATACTGAGTGGCCAAAATTTAGTCACTTATATGTATGTCAAACGATCAAAAATTTTTTCACAAAATTCAACACCAAAATGTTGTCAATAGGAAAGTGAGAGTGGGGTATAATGAAATCAAATTATAACCAAAGTATATCATAACTTGGTACATTATAACAATCCCACATAATTAATAAAGAGTACAGTTTTAACTGTGTAAAATTATTTTATAATGAAATGATAAAAAATTTTTTAAATTTTTTACTTGCGATATTTTTGTTTGAATTATGTAAAAATTTTTAATCGATCTTTTTGTATACCTATACCTTTGTACAGGAGATATTCAATTTGTCACGCGACGTATGTATGTAACACCAAGAAGGGAACACAATAGCCCATCCGTTTGTTGTTAAACCATTCATATGAGAACGTATTAAAACTATAGAAACCCAAACAAGGATTGAAAATTAGCATAATTAGCCCAGTGAAAATTGTATCTCCTCTACGAAAGCTTTTGGTACAGGTTTCAGAGAAATTCACCGAACATGGTTTTGCGGTATATCGTTGAAACAGTCTTTTAAAGGCTTTTAAGGGTTAAATTAAATAATTAAAAAATTAAATAATTCATTCGTTAAAATTGATATTTAATTTAAATGAGTATAAGATAATGCGAATCTTTCTCTCTTTTTTTAGACATTTTTGTCTCTCTTATATTCTTATATAGCTAGTTTGACCTTATTAAATTATCAAAATAAAATATTTGGAAAAAAATTATTTATTTATACATACATTATGTGTATAATTATGCACATTATACCTTGTACAATACATACTTCATTCAACATGTAAGTTGAAAACAGAAAGAGATTGTGAACTAATCCAAAAACCAAAAGAAAGGATTTAAGAAGGATGTAAATTATTAATATTACATAAAGTTGACAACTATTATAAATTTTATTAAAATATTTACTTACATCTTGTGTTAAGGGAATTGTACGTATAAGTTTGTTTCTCAAAAAAATTATTTATTAATTTACACAAACATTTCAAAATCATATTTAAACTTTGGTTTAGATATTTTAAATTTTCAATATATATTGGTGTTTTTTTTTTAAATATCACTACTTCTAACGGTTTTCTGCATAACGAATTGTGTTCGTAATAAGGAGAATCTTTATATTACGAATAAAACTCAAAGGATTATTAGTGTTCTTTATATGAAGATTTCACTGTATTTTGTTATAATTTAAGGTACCGTACATAAATGTAAAATCAAAATTGAAAATTATAAGAAAATTTATTGAAAATTAAAAAAATAAATATTTTTAAAGTTATAGTTCAAAAATAAAAGAATTAAATTAATTGAAATCTTGCATTTTGTATAAAATAGAATTATATGTCCACGTTCAAATATGGCAACAATGATAAATAATGAATCCTATAATAATGCAAAGTATTAAATGTTAATATTCTTATAGTTATAGAATACAAATTTTCCAAAATAGTTTAAAAATTTTCAGATCTATAAATAGAATATAATTATAAGTATTATCTATCGATTTTATATAGACTTTGAAATCTTTTGAATTCATACTTATTGATTAAACATTTAATGAATTTAGGGATGTTCTATATTAAGTGTTACTATTAATAATCTCTATGTAGATATCAATTTTGTTAAGTAAATGGCAATAAATATCTACATATATATGCATATATGTTATTATACGCAAAAAATATTTTTAAAAATAACCTCCAAATATTTCAATAAAATATTTCGTATAACAATTTTATTGATTAACTATATTTATTGCTTCTTACATTGAAAAAATGATAAGACGATCGAACACCTGTAGATCAATTGTTAATTCCATTTTCTAATTTATTTTATTAATTGTTATACTGTAAAGAACCATTATGTTAAAAGCTAAAGCTGTCAGTCTTACCTTCCATCATATGTATAAAATAATGATCTGAAGTTTTTGAAAATCCACAATATAGTATAGCTAAACATTAATTCTAAACAAACATAGAATGTTCACAAATATTCTAAAACAAATTTGAAAAATGTTATATCTTTCCTTTATATTAGTATTTTTTAAATAAACAAAATTCTCATCTTTAATTTTGTATGTAAATAAAAAAATAATATGAAATTTATTTAATTTTTTTTTAACTGAAATATTAGGAGAAATCGCTAACTTAATAGTTTAATTGGAGCGACATCTGTAAGAAATATATTAAAACTTTTTTTAAAATTAAAAGCTATAATTACAATTAAATATAGTAATAGAAACAATAGATGTCGCTACTATTTTACAAAGAATATTTTTTATACTTTTATATTTTTTTTTTGTATGATGATAACTGAGAAATTAAATTGATCATTAGATTTTTAATTTCACACTTTTCAATTTTAATGTTTATGAATTCAGTCTATACTAGAATGCTTTAATTTTAATCGAAAACTGAATCTTATAAACTTAATTACAATATTATAATTTTTTAATTACATATTAATTATTTTGGATTGCATTAAAACTCTAGTGGCAGTGCCAAATTATAAATGACCGCGCTTTTCAGAATAAAAATATTTTTGCATATAAGATAACATAAATTGAGAGGTCATGTACATACATATACATATTATGTAGATCTTTTCTTAAAGATTAAAAGTAAAAGATCTGTTTCTCGATTCAATTAAAATTGAATTGAATAGATCAATAATTATGGGTACTTAAAAGCTTTTAGAAAATAAAAATATTTTGCTCTTTTTTTTTCAAAATTTTTTGTAATAACGTCAGAGTTTTTAATTTATCTGTGTGTATATGATATTGTTTTTCATTCATGTTGCTTTTGGAATTTTTAAATAAACATTTTCTTAAGTTAATAGAAAATTTAAAGAAAAATGTACAATAAACAAGAAAATTAAAATATTTTTGATTGCCATATTCGATTTGAACGAAATCATCCTTGAAAGTACATAATTTTAAAGAAATCAAAAATATTGGAGAGGAAAAAATCGAATTTTAATAAACAACAAAATATATTTGTATATATATATTTATGTGAGTAAATATGTGTGTATGTAAGTATAATGAGAAATGTTGTAAATTTAGTAAGTAATAGAAATTTTTTTGATATTAAATGGAATTTATGAGTATTCAAATTGGAAAATATGAATTGCAATAAAATTTATCAATTATATATGAACTCAATAATATATATTAAAATTTATCGATTATATTCTATTGAATTAATAAAAAATTAATTTTAAGTGTATATATACAAAAAATATAGAGCACTGTATTAAATATACTTTAAAATTAATTAAGAAAAAAATTTAAAATTGCAGAGGAGGGAACGCTTTTTGGCGGGATATCGGTTCGACGGATTAGAAGAGCTTCCAGGGGAGCCTGTGAGTGATCTGTTGAACTTTTGCAAGAAACTTCAATTGATTTAGGGGGATGGGTATGCTATGAAGGGAAGCATTGTATAAATTTTAATTTCTTATACACAATTGCAGATTTCTGGGCAAATAATCAAATGGGGTTGAATGAATTATTCACTGAATATGAATGAATGAATTCGAATTTCAATTTTATTATTTTTTTTCTATTAAATAAAAATTTTACCCCGGATGCATGTAATTATACTGACAATGAAAAATAATTTTTCTTATTTATTTTCGTCTTGTAATTATTGTACAAAACAATTTTGCGTTTGTTTAGAATTATTAAGATATTTGAATTGAAAAACCCTAGAAAAACGAAAAGTATAATATTTGATTATATTGTTTAGTGTAATCGTATTATATTTAGAGAACATATTAAACAAAATTAAAAAAAAATTTCTTTATTTCTTTTAATCTATCCGTTCGTCTGTCTGTTGCATTGATTAACAAAATTTGTACACCCTTCGAGATCGGAAACTGAAATTTTATTATTAACGTTAAAGGATTTTTCCGAAAAATGTACTTCTCAGAAAATAATTTTTACCCCTCTGAATATTATGGTCCTGTATGTTCTTAAAAATGCCAGTAATTTGGGCAATTTGTTGTGTTGAAACCACATACTTTTCTTAAATTTCGTAAACGGTTTCTCCGTTTCTAGTGCCTCGTTTCTTCTACATATATACCATACACAAACGTTACAACCGCAATTTGGCATTACTTTTCTCTTAGACGGTTTGTTGTAGAAATCTAATATTAAAACAGTTGGCAGAAACTAAATGGTTTATTTTTCCAAAACGAAATAATATTTTTCCACTTCACACACATATTCCCAAGTTATCAACTTTCAAAGTAAAAAAATTGCAACTCACAGTTCTATACTTTTCCAAATTTCTGTAAAAGCCAAAAAAACTAACAGTCCATGGCTTAACGTTACGCTTAGACAATTACGAATTCGATTTTGTGTTATTATATTCACGTTTCAGCAAATTTTCTTTCTCACCCCAAAAAATATGCAATAATTCTTTATGATTATAATATTATATTTTATGAGAATAGTTTAAGTAGAAAAATTTTTTAACATAATGAAGTTAGTCAAAGGGAATGTGCTACTTTACAAACATTTGATTTGGTCCGAATTTATTTCTTATATAAATTACTTAATGATTGCTATCCTTAAACTTTGAATAATAAATATTTATTTTTAAATCTTTAAAAGAGTTTATAAAAGTTGATTTTTATTTATTCGATTCATTATTTATTTTTAAAAAGATTATCTAATTAAAGATGAAGAAAATGATTTTTAAAATTAAATAAATAAGCTATTTATATTAAGAATAGGCACAGTTTTACATATAAAACCGAAAATCTTTTTAAATATATATTTAAGAGAAATATATGTGTGTGTATATACGATATATGCATATATATGAAAAAAATAGTAAATCAGTTTTAATTTTAATTAAACACAGTGTTACATAGAAATTCAATAAATTAAGGCCTAGATGGCTAGACAATTTTCGAAATTCCATTATTTTATAGTTAACAATACTTTCATTAATTTTTAATACAAGCAAATTGAAAATGACTAAAATTTGTTCTTGGATTAATGAACTTGTTTATAGTTAAAAAATTACGATGGTATTATACTCGTAATCATACCAGAATAAACTCTTTGATCTCCCCAATTTCAGTTTCAAATTATACCCGTTTTTTCCGAATTTTTTTATGTTTTATCCGAATTTACTATATACCTAATTTTTTATAAAAACTCTGAAAATTCAAATTTAAGTGATTTTTAAACTAGACTTTACAGTTTCGGTCGGTATATTTTCAATTTTCTTTTTGGTTTTTTACAATTTCGTTCTAATATAAAAAAATATTTAATTATTTCTTAAATTCTGAGAATCATGGAGTAAAATTTTAGATAAGAGATTAGGAAATTTCATAAAATATTCTTTTAAAACAAACTCAACAATTATGCATTCAACGGATTCATAATGTAACGGAAGCAAATATAGTAAGCTTCATACTATGGATCACACATCATCGGCAGAAAATTTTTAATTTTTGTAAATAGTTTTAAGATTGTAATAATTTCAATTTAATAATTTCATTTGTTTTACTGGTTTGATATCAAAATTAAATTTTTAAAATTATACTTAAGTTGCTAAATTTTCCCTTAAGGACTTGAGATCATTGAATCATAGTTTTATGTATGGTTATAGCATTTATAATTAATCGCTAACCATTTCCAAAAAACAGTTACTTTTTCGATATAAATATGCGTTAATTTTTATTTTTGTTACAAATTTATTTTTTTTAATGACATGTAATAAAAGATAAACGATATGGGAATGAATAAACTTTATGATTTATTGCTCTAATATTCGCAGACAAAGATGCAAATCTAAAATTATGTAAATATATGTATGTATATGTAAGTCTAACCCACATACATCAAAAAGATATTTGGTTTATTTGTTTTAGCAATTTAGAAAGAATAACAGACACTCGATTTAAAAAAAAATTTGCATATAAAATGAAAAATTCATTCAAGAAAATTTAAAAATCAAAACATTAAAAACAAAGCAAGAAAAAACCCAAACCAAAAATTATAGCGAAAAATTAATTATTAAAGAATTTTAAAATTTTTAAAAGTTTTTTTTTTTGCCAAAGCAAATTTTTTCTTTTAATAAATAATAAAAATATAACCATTAAAATAATTTATTACTCTGGAAAATTCAGAAATTTTTTTAATCAATTTTTAATTTTTTTTTTAATTTTAATTATTGTTTTCATTGAATTTGCTTTAGGATTAATACTGAGATTATTGAAAATGTTAGAAAACGTTAAGACTTTGGATTATTTCAGAAACAAATTCAGTCGTAAGTCGTAAGTATAGCCTTTCATTTATTAATTTTAGTTAACATACGAAATATGGTTGAAAAACGAGTTGAAAGAATTTCAAATTTTGACATTTCACTGTCCAAGAAACATTTGATAATTTTCAATAATGAAGCTGACATCTACGACCTACAATGATATGTGAATGACAGAATAACGTTTATTATGATTTTTATTCCAGATAATTTTTAATCCCAATTTCTGATATTAAATCCAAATATGAGGTGATTTTTAATCCAGAATGTGCTTATACATAATGTAAATACATATGAATATACATAATACTAATGTATGTATGCAAATGTGCAAAATATTAAATTTCTTGAAAAAAAAAAAAATTATTTTTTTTTTTGTTCAACAAATATGTACAATTATAAAATTTTATTGCCTAATAAAAATATTTTTTTTTTCTTCTTATATACCACACTTTATTATTTTAAGTATAAGTGAACTTATGCGCTATTAGTTTTGTAATGCGTGAGGTCGTGAACTAAACGTATGAATCGGTTCAAGGCTATTATTTTTTTCTTAAAAACAAAAATTTTTTTTTTATGAAAATTATGAACCATAATACCATTTTATGATACAAATGTGCTATTAAATTAAAATTGTATATTAAATTTAAAATGAAATTTTATTGATTTATTATATTAATGTTTTTTCTTTTTGGGCAATTTTCTATTTTATTTCTAATCTGTAGAGAAAATTTTTTGGATTATAATCTAAAATATATCTCAATTCAATTGTTGATAGGAGAAGTAAAAATTATGGTATGCAAATTATTAAAATATTCAGCTGTTTTTGTTAATAAAGAGATTATTTTCAAACTATAGCCCCGACTAACACAAAAACTCATTCATAAGCTTTACTTTCAAGTGCTGTATTGCCACATGATACATAGAGATACTGCGTCATATAATACGAGTATTAATAAAAATGTTATATAAGTAAATGAAATTAATGAATAATAATGACTTAATATTTGAGATACTATCATATATACAAGTTGAACCTGTAAAATTTCTTCTTTTAACGTAAAATATACCACATTATTTCAAAATAACTGCGTTCAAATTAACCGTTGTTGAATATTATTTTAATTTTTAGTTTATAATTCCTTTGAAACTATATAAAATCAAATTATACAAAGCAAGAAATGAATATTCTAAAAATGCAAATATAAGTAGGTAACTCTCTTAAGATCTTCTATATAATCAGAAATTATAATAATACATATTTATATTTTAATACATAACTGTAATAAAACTTATTGTAGTTTTGGTCATTCCCCATAAAATATGCAATAATTCAATATTTTTTAATTTAAGAGAAAAGCTAAAAAAATTTATTTTTTAATTAAAAAAAAAGAGAGGTTTTCAATTAATATTGAAGAATGATATTTCAGTTATTATAAACCGCTGGTATTATTATTATTGAAAAATTCATTATTCATATTAAGCATGTCCGTTCGGAAATATACAGTCCAGAAATTTCTAGATTGTGATTATCAAATTCCGAATTATGATACCACAATATTTAATATCGTCTATATATTTACAGTATATTTTAAGCCTATTATGTGTATATTATGCATTTGCATTATATTTTAATTTTTGATAATAAAAATTTTTTTTTTAAAAAAATTCCCATAAATAATAAAATATTCATTTAAAGTATGCTAAATGTAAATATAAGAAAAACTTAAAACAAAAAATCCATTATTCAATATTACAGATGAATCATTTGATTTTAAAATGAAAATAATTAAAAAAAAATTTTTTTCATGAAATAAAAATAAATTTTAAAAATTTTTTTATGAAAAAAGAAAATTTTGTTTTTTCACTTACCCATAATTTTCACAACAACAAACAAAAAAAAAATCGAATATATTTTTTGCTATTTTCTTCTTCTGCTGTTTTTCTTGTGTTTAGCTTTTTACTCTTTGAGTTTTGTTTTAAAAAATTGGTAACCATTTTATGATTTCAATAAAATTTTCTTTTGAAACGGAAGAAAAAATTTTCTTATTTTGTTGGTTTTTTTTTCCTGATTCTTATTGTTGCTATTGCTCTTTTATTTTTTTATTATTCGAAATTCTTACTTCTTTTTATTTTAATTTGATAGGCTTCCATATTACTATATGTATGTATGTATGCATGTGAGTATTTTTGCTTTTTTACATCAAAAATTTTGTATGACTTTTTTTCTGTTGTTGTTGTTGTATTCTTGGTTTTTTTATTTTTTTTTTATTTTGTTTTTGCATTTTATTTTGATTGACGTGTTAATATTTTGGAATATATTTTGCATGACGCTTCGCCAAATTCAATAAAAATTGAATGGCCTGTTTTAGCCAATGCTAGGTATATGATTCAGGTCGACATAAACCAATAATACATCCGATAGCTGCTAAAATTTCCGATATTTGCATTCCCAACATTAAGGAACATAAAATTAATTCGAGTTTTAGAATGTGCCTGTATATGAAAAAAGAAAATGAAGGGAAAACAAGCGTTATGAACGTATATGGGAAAATGTAAATTTAAGTTTTTTTTTTCTTTGTTTTTTATATTTAAAATTGTTAAAAAGGAATAAAATATTATTTTTCATGTTATAATATGTATTATACATTAGATATTATAGATATAATATATTATTTTAAATTATGGACATTTCGTATAAAATTATTTGTTTGTTTATATATGTATGCATTCATGGTGAAAATAAGGACATTCACCTTTCACTTTTCCTCTATTTTATATATAGAGAAAGAAAATAATAACACTATTTTTTTTGTTTTCATTTTTGGGAGAAAACCATATATTATAAGAAAAGGGAGCGTCAAATATCTACACTATAATATTTCGAATATATTTTTTTTAATTTAGGTCAAATATTATTAAGAAAAACAGGATATTTTATTAATTTTATGTTACATATAGTCATTCACATATACATATTATTTTTATTATAGTTGATCGAATTTCCTTCTTTGTCCATATTGAAATTTAAAAAACACTATAAATATAGGGAAATTATTAGGAAGAATGGTAAAATTTATAATTTCCATGTTATCTATATTTTATAATAACGTATTAGTAACTTTTTGAAGTTTCTTGTTTATCTGTATTATCCAAACCAAAAGATCAAAATTTATTTTTTATGAACAAAAAATCCTGCATCATAAATTATGAATTATAAATTGTTGTTTAAAATATTTATAAAATTTTCTTGGTAATTTTCAATTTTAAATCCATCGTAAAAATTATAAATTTTATACTGTGTTGCACATGTAAAAATTCGTAGGAAGTACTTAAAGGGAATATGTACATAAACATGCATAAATACTTTGTTCTTTTTTAATTTTTAAATAGGAAACATTAAAGAATCTTCTCAAGAATTGTTTTGTTTATAATAATTATAAAGAATCCTTCAGTTTCTTTTTAAGGAAATTAACTGTGATACTGCTATATTTATTAAAAAAATTTTAATATATTTTGCTTAGTTTATGTTTAATTTTATTCTCGAAGAAAAATATTGGCACGCGTACAACATTACAGGTTATAAAGGGATTGACGCTTTAACAACGCTTCAAAATTTTTGAACTTTATTACAAAATTTTGAAAACATGCCGCTTAATAAAATTTATTTCAAATGCATATGTATATGTAGATATGATGCTTCACGATATTGCTTTAAAACTCATTCGAGTTATTTTTCTAGTAACTTAATTTTTTTTGTGATATACATTTTTTCCAACTATAAGATGTTGGATGTGAGATATAAAATTTATATATAGAAAATCTGATAATTATTTTCTCTTAGATATGCCTTCTAAGGTTCTCGAAAAAGGATTTAATACCTAAGGGCTCTGACAGACATACATTTTTTAGTTTCACAGCTGTGACTGCTTATTTGTATTTATTTTCAAATATGCACTCATTCAACAGAATCATCAAATGCAATTAAGTAATCAAATAGTTTGTAAAAAACTGATTGGAATTAAGTAAATAGTTTCAAATAGTTTAGTTGCGGTTAAGTGTGCTTGCAATTAATTTGCAATCAAACTGTAAATCCATGTCTGCCAGAGACCTAATATACCATAAAAAATATAAATTTATTTTATTTAACAAAAAATTATACTTACGCTTGAAAAAATAAGAAATAAACCACACCTGCAGTGCAAGGGAATGTAAGGATCACAGAACAAATTACTTGCCATCCTGAAATTATTATTTTTTTTTTATATAAAATAAAAAAAATTTTATATACTATGAGTTTTGTTGCATTATTATCACAGTTATAAATTTTTATAATAAATTAAAATTAAATATGAAAATCAATATTGAAAATAAATCGTAAAAGAAATTACGTAAAAAAAATGAAAAGTATCTGAATTGTAGGCCCGGAATGAAAATCACATTTTAGTATGAAAATCATTGTAAAATTCTATATAACCAATATTGCTTGAGTAATTCAATTAAAATGTAGATTGACATTCAATTTGCATTCATGAAAACTGTAATTGATTACATTTCTCCGATATTGCGATTTAATAGAGTTAAGATTTAACGATTCAAACTTTGAAAAATTAAAAATTTAAACGAAACTTATAATTGATTTATTTGCTGCTATTAATGTTAAATATAAAATCATGCTTGTTGTAGAGAATATTTTTTTTATCATGTGAATATTACTGTGAAACATTAATTGAATTATCAAATAAGTTTTCTATATTAAATACTTAACAAATATTTCAAATTTTCACTAATTTTTAAATATAGTGTATGAAAATTTTTGTGAATAAGTGCAAAATCGGACCTAAATTCTTTATTATTAAATTTTTAAAAAATTAATTAAAAATTAATTTAAAAAAATTGTTCACAAAAATTTTTGATAATGAATATGTAACAAGCTATCCGAATTCCGTGTTAGAGTAATCTAATATATGTCAAACACTAAATACACCAACACTGCGATTAGCGATAATAATTGGTGCGAAAACAAAATCGTTTTAAATTAAACGCCGCAATTCAAAATAAGTTTTTGTACATAGGTGTGTTGAAATATCAAAGAAGCATTCCAATAATTAAAATAATTTGGTATTTACTAATTTCATTTTGTAGAAGGAAGAATTCCGATTCTTCGTGTTAGGAAGAGTTCCGATTTTTGAATGTTTGGTATTGAAACGTCAAAAATACAAGAAAATTCTATTAATACGAATAATATTATAATATAATAATTATTTTCGTAATGGAAAATGCAATAAAGCAATGCATGTTATGGAAAATTTCGCACTTGAGTTTGACTGTGTAATATGTATATAATTTTGTGATATATTAAAAAGTCATTTATATACCCACTGCTCATTTTTAAATTTTATATTACTTAAAAATATTCATTTTAATTTATATAAAGTTTCAGTTAAGAGTGTTTACGACGACATGAGAAGTAACACAAAATGTATTGCAAATTTTTTTTGTCATGATGTAAACCGTCGCAAATTGAAACGTCTTAGAGCGAGGTATTGGTGTAATATGACTTTAATAAACACAGGTTTCTTATACGGATTAAAATTTTCATTAAACATATCAATCAATTTGTATTCCGAAATAGTATGACATTTATCTTTGTAATATTTATGTCGTAAGAGAAAATAAATTTGAATCTTATCAGATTTGTCCTAAAAACACCTTCACTGGTTAGTTATGTTAATTTACACAATTTATATATTATTCAAATATTAATTAATTATATGTAGGTTTCCATTATCAAAAATTTTTAAAAATATAATAACCTAATGTTAGTGTAAATAAAAAAGAAATTAATTGTTAATAATCACAAAACAAACAAATTCACACATAGACAAATTTAAGTATTAATTAAACAAAATCTATAAACACAAAAAAAAACGGAAACATTAAACGACCTGGTCGGCCAGATGTCGAACTAAAAGACGCTCTTTGATTTCCTGTCCAACTATCTGTAAATATAAGAAAAAAAAGAAAACAAAGAATAGCAAAGGTGCAAATTTTGAGCTCAACAAATAAAATATACTATGTATATAAAATATGAATAAATATTGTGTGTGTGTATTAAATTATTGTAATTAATAAAATATTTAAATTTGTTTTTTTTTATATTATTAATTGCAATTTAATTTTAAAATAAAATTATGCGCGAGTTCAAAACAGTTGAAAATGACTGAAGAAAAATGTGACTTTTAAAATTAAAAAAAATAATATTTAATGTGTGGTGAATAAATGTGTAATATTAAAATGTTGAATTAAAAATTTTTAATCGTTATAAAAAAAAATATGATGCCATTGAAATGTTTTCATGTCAACAAAATAATGTGACTTTATGTGACTTCAAAATTGCAGTAATGCTGCTAACACAATTATAACTCATAAACTGTACCATAAACAGTACTATTGCCATTTTGAAGTCAGGTGATTTTGAATTGTAAATTAAATTTTAAAAAAAGAAACTTAAGAGTCGTGAACTTTTCCCTTTCAATATAAATAAAAATTTAATAAATGAAAACTTATACATTTTTGAGGATGACGTCATTGTAATGAGAAAATTGTTAATTAAAGTACTTTTAATTATTTTTTATATGATTCTATGATTTATAGTGATAATGACAGCGGAATGAACTCTTTAAATTTTACATAACTATACAAAATAATTGAGAGTGCACGTAAAAAGTGTTATCTTTCTCATATACACAGCAATATTATTGATAAATTTATATTTGTGGATTTGCATTTAAAATTTGAAATTTTAATCTTAAACTGAATGTGTTTTTAAAAATTCAAAATAAGACTTTGTTATTCTAATAAACAATATCTAATAATGTTATATTTTGACATCATAGAATTTATATATGTATGTATTTTTTCAGAAAATAGTTTCAAACTAATTATACAATGAGTATATACATGTATACTTATATATATACTACAGTTTTACTATATGTATATATACGAATTCTTATTTTATTGCAAAATAAATAAAGATATTCGTGCAAAACATAAATAATGTATATTTAATAAATATAGAAAATATGTTTCAAAAAATATTTTTTTTTCATTTTTGTGTAATTACACTTTAATAAATTTTTTTAAAATGAAGTGTATGCCGCAGATCACTTACGAATCAAAAATATACTTGGAACTAAATGAAATGAAATTTTAGTATAGTTAAATTATAAATAATAAAATATTTGGGCACAATGAAATGTAAGGACCTTATTTAGGCTTCTTTAATTAAATACGATAAAGTAAGTAGACATACGATTTTTAAATATTCGTTATAATATAAATCTTGTGTATATGTATGTGTATATAGATAATAAAATGTTCATTTATATGTATGTATGTATTTGCTTACCTCGATCGCTTATACTTCCTTTTCGTCCTAATACTATCCTAATAGCTATATACATAAAAAAAAATTAAAATAAAAAAAAAAAACAAAAAAAATTTTTTTTATTTCTATTTTATTATATTTATAAATTTAATTTGAAAATTTAATTTCTAAAATTTTTTATTTACTTTCTTTGATCTTTAAGTAATTTTTTTTTTTATTAATAAATAAATAATAAATAATTAAGTATGTAAAAATTTAATTAATTAAATAATTATTATATTTTTTATTATTTATATAAGTTCATATTTAATTTTATTTATTTATTTATTTAATAAAGATTTAAGAGCCCCAACACTTTGAATGTTTCTATATGGGTTCTTATATTTAATTAATATATTCGCAATATTTATTTCAAATTAAAGAATTAACAACAAAATAAAACTAAAAAAGCTCAAGTTCTATTAAGCTTAACATTTTCTTTATAGAACGTTCACAAAAGTTTTACATTGTTAAGCAAGTTACAACAAGGCTTTAACATTTTACATTGTTATACAAGTATGCGCATTATAAACTGAAGTGTTTACTTATATTATTAAAAAATAATAAGGAGCATTAAAGTGAATGTACTATTAGTGTTAATTGTCAATATTTATGAGTATACCGTATCATTCGAAATTCAATTTTAAATAGTAAATTTGATAAATTCTTCTCTTCATAACCCAAAAATTAGACTGAAATTTTTATTTGCTTTGGCGTAGTCTATTAAAACACACTGAAAATTAACTTCTATATATGTATAGTACATAAGTTATAAGAATAAACTTATGAATAATTTCGAATTTTATGTAATAACATATATACAAACATAAATGGCTTTTATTATTTAATTCAATTTTTATATGCAGAATTATGTTATCGCAGCGGCAAAAAATATTTTTATTGTAAAAAAAAATATCCAATTATACGAGTATACATACATTTATGTATATTTGTAGACAATAATAAAGCAATTATATTTTCGTATCTGTTATATATTGCAAATAAATTTGAATTTCCGGTAAATAATAGAATTGAAAATGGGTACATTATTGGAATAGTACGTTCATTCAGATCTTTAAAAGCACAATACCAATTCTAAAATTTCATTTGAAAAAAACATATATAATTAATTAATAAAATTTTTTATATATTTCTGTATGTTATTATGAAAAATCAATTTTTAAATTCAAGTATAGATTATTTACGAATTTCCACAACATTATATAAAAAATATAATTGAATTCAAAACAATTTTTTCATTCATATATCAAATAGAAATTATATGTACCCATTTGTTTTTAAGCAAAAAAAAAAAACAAAAATTAGATACACATAATGTTTATTATACACATAATAAATGTATATTGTAAATTATAATAATAAAGAAAAAACTATTATACTAAATTCCCCCCAAAAGATTTTTCATTAATAATTTTCCATATAATGTATTTATGATTATATAGTTTTGAATTAATAAAATTTCACTGTATATAAATTTTGTTAATAATAATTTATGTGCGTATATTTAAATTAATTCTCATTTTATATAATGTAATTTTCTTATTTCTATATTGTGTCTTTTATGTATTGTATTATATATTATATATGCATTACATATATACGGCGCATTTAAATGTCCTTCATATCCTTAATTGATAATATCACATTAAAAAACAGACAGACATCGTATTCGTATATAAGAAGATTTATTCTTGTTTCATTCAAAATAAAATTTAAAAATAAACATTCTAAATTTTGGATTATTTTCATTATTTTAAATTATTTTAAGATTTACTAATAATTTTTTTTTAAACAAAATGTACTTATTTAGTAATTTATTTTTATTTTATAAAATTATAATATTATATGATATAATAAATAGATACCGTTTAATATTATACTTATATGCGTTAAGTAGCTCACCTTCAACTATACATAATAATACTAAACCGCAAGAATCTTTTAATAAAATTGTTGGATCATAATTCAAGTTAATTGCCTTTAAAACACAAATACTTAACTCACATATTGAAAACATACCAAAATAAAATGAATTTAAATACATTAAAATTTCAAATGCTAAACTGGAATTCATTTTTATTATTTTTTATTGTAATTTTTTATATTATATTATATTTTAAATAAAAATGATAATTGTAATATTTTACATAAATTATTTTTTTCTATATAATATTACATATATATTTTGTATGTAATATAATTTGTATTATATATTAATTGAACGGAATTTTAACTTTATATGTATGTATGTAAATTAATTTTTCTTTTGTAACTAATTAAATTTAATTTAATTAAATTTTTTGAATTTTTCTTTTTTGTTTCTTTTTTGTTTTAATATTTTTTAAATATTGTTAACTTAATATGCTCTCGCCTATGTTTTAAAAAATTTCCTTTTTTTTTTTGTTTTATATGTAAGTAGAGCAAAAATAAATATCGCTGATGGTAACGTTTTTTGTTTCCTTAGCGATATATGAAACCGCCCGAAACCCCAACAAAAGTTTTAAGAAAATATAAATTCGATTTTATTTTTATGAAAAATTGTAATAAATGTACGATACTCTTCTCCATTCTTATGTTTTTTTCTTAATAAATATATTTTAGTTATTTTTTTTTTTGTTCTTTTCAACTTAAAAAAATTTCTTTTGACATTGATAGATTCTGCGCATAACCGTTATTTATTAAACATATTTTTTTTTTTAAATAAATAAATGTTCCGTTTTTTAAACTGAGCCGATAATGGTATGTTTTGGAATTGAAACGAATATATAAATTGATATTTGACATTTTAAAAATTAATTCAAATTTGGAATTTGTTCGAAGATTTACAAACAATAGACGAAAGAAACATAGACTGGCTGTACACAAAAACAAAAATATTTTCCATCAAAAATTGAAAAATAATTTTAGATTTTTTTTTTAAATACTTCAATTCAGCGAGGAAGAAATTTTTCCTGTCGGAACAAAATTTGTGTATTTATGATAAGTAAGAAGTATTTTATATTTTTGTGATAATTAAGTGTTTTGTGTAAGTTCGTTTTTATTATTCAAATTCTCGCAAAATGAACAGTTTTATTTTAGTTTCAAATTTCGTTCATATATTTTATAATAAATATTCTTTTAAAGAATTTAATAGTAGTACTATCTACCAGTAGTACTATTTCAATATTTTACTTCTTTTACTAAAATAATGGTTGAAATTTATGATTTACCAAAAAAAATTGTTTTTATGGAAAATGAGTAGATATGGGAATAAGTAAAGAGTAATAGATTTTGCCCTGGAAGCGTTTTTTTTCTCACCAAAAATCATAAAAAAATCATAAAAATTTTAACATATATTTTGACGTTGTCAAAAAATAATTTGGTTATCAAAAAGATAAAAAAATAATTTGGTTTACAATGAAACTATGTATTATACGCTAATTGGATTAACTGAAAACGATTCGTATTGACTCCATTGTATAAAAATAGTGCATATATAAATATGCAAATGTAAATAATAAACTTGTTAATTATATGCATCTAAAGCTTTCAGAATTTATTTTCAATAAAGCAGTAGGGCAATTGTGGAAAAAAATCTTATTGAATCGCTGTAAATTACCGAATGTATGAATTTACTTAACGTGATGTTTTAAATTACAATATGCTGAAAAATGTAATATATATGTATGTTAATCTATTTTATAATAAAAATTTCGGGACGATCTGGTTACCCTATCAAATAAAAAAGCCAACGAATTTTTTAAAACCAAGCAACCCAATAAATTTTTAAGTGTCATTTGAATGTCAAAATTTGTTCGAGAACTACGAAAGTATATAGAAATTTTTTTCACCTATGAAAATTGTTTGTTTTTGTGGTTGAAACGAATAACAAAACTAAAAACAAATTAAAATTTTTCAAAACAACTTCATTTTGGTATTTTTGTGTAATTTAATACTTTAATACTTTATCAAAATGCCTGCGGATCAAATTCAATATTCGGAAAAATATTTCGATGCGCTCTATGAATACAGGTATATCGGAATTAAATATTTATATACATAAACATAATGCAAGGGTGACGCTATTAAACTGTTTTAGGCATGTAATATTACCACCTGATATAGCAAGAAACGTAGCCAAGTCTCACTTAATGACGGAAAGTGAATGGAGAAATCTTGGAGTTCAACAAAGGTACAGCCTTAGTATCATAAATACATGACATATAAAACTAATAAATGTGATAATTTCAGTCCTGGATGGATTCACTACATGTTTCACGCCCCGGAACCACATGTTCTATTGTTTAGGCGTCCAAGAACCGATATTAGTGCAAATTCATTCAAGGAAATAAGTACAACACAAAGAGTTGTAACGTAAAATGTTATTTTGTATAGAAATTTTTATAATTTATATTCAAAGCATACCACACATGAAATTTTTTAAAATTTTTTAATTTAAAAAATTGTGATTATGCTTGTGCGAACATTTTTGTTATTTAACAAACATATTTACTAGACGTTTGGATTATGTTGCTACTTAAGCATCTTTAAATGTTACATGTCGATCTTAAAATTACGTGTGTGGTATCCTTGACAACCATTATCTTCCTTGAACTAATTTCATTAAAAATCATATACAACAACTTGTATCAATTCAGTTTTTTATATAAATTTTATATATTTTCTTAATAAATCATAAGTTAAATTTTATGTCTAATTAACCGTTTATTGTAGTTGATTATATTTTGTTGGTAAAGCAGTGATAGAACCCTTAAAATCACGGTTTTTTCTTAATTGCTCAGCTGCATGTCTAAATTGTAAAGCACAATCCGGGCTGGCGTTTTGTGGTAAATTAGATATTTCTTTTTCGAAAATTATTGCTAATGTATCCAAAAGTTCAATAAAACCCAAAGAAAGAGCCGCCCTTCGAATTCTATTCAACTCCTTGTAGAAGTGTGGTGTTTTTTCTGGTAACTTTTTGGCGTGCCTTAGAACTTTTTGAAGATCGGAATTTAATGCAGAAGTTTTTATCCAAACTACAATATTTTGCGAATAGCTTCTTTTTTCTGATTTAACTGGGAACGAAGGATTTTCACCAGGCAAAATGTCATCAGACATGCCTAATAAACGAAAATCGCCTAACCAAGGCACTACTTTATTTCCAGGTGGTAGTATGCTTAACATAAGATTGCACTTCTTTTTAGTATCCGCATAGGAGTAAATGAAGCCGTACCAATTATCATTTAAAAGAACAAGAGCAGCTTTATTATCAACTTTTAGCGCACCATGCAAAAGTACAACAACATTTTCTTTGTATGATTCTGATTGTGAATGTTTTGGTTCTTCTTCTTCAGAATTATTACCGTCTCCCTTTGAGTAAAATGCTCGTATTTCATTCTCTAATTTTTCAAACTCATTCGACGATTCTTTTTTGTCTTTTTTTGTACGATCATTGTGCTCATGTTTTGGAAGAATTAAATGCCTTGAAAGTGATACAGGCGATCCAACATCGGAAACACCAATAAACCCACATAGTTCTATTCTCCTTGAAATCCGTATTGAGGTTTGTTTTGTTGGTGGTTTATACGAAGTTGGAGCAGGCCAAAGAATAATTGGACTTTCAAGTCTAAAATAACCACCACATTTTAATACAGCTTCAAATGGTTTGTAATTTGCTTCGCAAACACGTTCGATCATTTCTGAGATACTATTTCTATTTAATTCATTTGATCCTTCTTTTGCTGAATTTTCGGATGTTTTAATCTTATAGCAATGACCTTTTATACCGCTAACAGTCAAAAACTGCTGATAAATTTGTGTGGCATAAGCGAAATATGTGTTTTTCGTACATCCTATACAAACAAAATTTACTCTGTTTGGTTGCAAATATTTCATGTAAGGATAAGCTATATCAATTGTTTTTGTAGCAATATTATTAATAATGTTTTTTAATGACGTGTTTCCGAATCCTAAGCCACAGTCTGTAAATATTATCACTTGGCATAAACATTGAGTGCCCCAATTAGTCGCTAATGCATTACTTGCTGTTTGCAATAGATCTTCATAATTAACTTTATCGATGTGTTCAATCTTTTTTAAAGCTTGACGAATACTCTCATCTAAAATAAGAAAATTAAAAAAATGTTATATGTACATAGTTTTACTTTCAAGCCGGAGAACTACTATAAGCAGTTCTCCGTTTTAACATACAGTCTCGGGTAAAATCCACTACTATCTCACATGTACTTGAAAAAGTAGCTAATGCAACAAATTCAAGTTTGCAATTTGTGCTTAAATAGTTAAGAAACTCTTTAATGCCTTGAACAGCTAATTTATGATATGTAGTTTCATCTGTCTCAGACACAGTACAAGTCATTGACAGAGAAATATCTAATGCTATTACAGTTGGCATTTCTCAAAAGAAATTGTACACAAATAATTCTCTATCATAAAAAAATCGCTGGAAAAAATAATTCTTCCTGTGTTTATAAAATTTCTATAGAAGCGAAGGAATACAGTGTACACAAATTGAAATGTGTATATAGCACATATGTCTAATTTTATTTCAAATAATATTATATAGTAGTCCTTAAGCTGAGTTCACATTTTCAATTTCTTATGTTCAATATAACTGCGAATGTCATTACGGTTTACGGTCACTTCCCACAAAAATTTCGTTCAGCACATTAAAACTAAGCGGAATCATAATTTTGCGGGAAGTGACTGTCAACCGAATCTTAATATTTAATATGTACTATACTTTTAAATAAACGCTTAAATCTTTTTGCCCATTAACTTAAATGACAGAGTTTGCCATTAAAGTTTAAAACTTCGACTATAATAATGGTTAATGATTCTATTCAAACGCAAGCTTAAAATATAAATGATCAAATTATTGAAATCTATTATGGCATCAAGTAGAGATATATTTAGAACACCTCTTGGAAAATTCAGTATTATCAAAAATTGCTTTTACTGAACTACTTTGGCAATACCAATACTTTTAAAAATAATTTTGGCAGTATTTTATAAGTTAAGAAAATAACGAAACATATGCGAATGACAATAATGACAATTTTTACTTAACGAAAAATAATGATTAGGAACTTTCTTGTCAATTCCATAAAAAATTTGTTTCTTGTCAAGTCAAGAAGTTTATTTTAATTCTGGCGTGTTTTCAGAATTTTGTATTGAATTTGTGGGTTTAAGAAAAATCGCAACCATTAAAGGCTCTACAGAAGCATCCGGGTAAGTGAAAATTGATCAATAAATTGCAATATAAGATTACATAAAATCAAATTTTTCATTCATAATTTCTCCTGGAATGAAAAAAATGGCTGCTTTCATCGTTTTGACATTTCTAAAAAAGAGTGTTGAATATGGATTACGTCATAAAATTAGAAATAAATATCTATGTAAATAAATTCAAGTTCATTTTAGGAATTCAACTGAATTAGATTATAGTGAATAGGCAATAAAATATGTGAAGTTATTCACATTAGTTATATGTACTTGAAATTGCACATATGCAAGTACAAAAGCATCAACTAATTTGTACTTATATGGATGAAGGGACTAGAGAGTTCCAGAAATTCGAGAAACTCCATGAGAACCTATGTATAAAGTTAAATTATTAAAGAGCGAAATGAAAGTATTTGCACTTTATTTTGAATGTTGCATCTAGGGAAGTCGTGAAAAATCTTGTTGAATTTGTAGTTAAATAATTGAAAGGATTCTTCGTTGTACCGATTTCATATTTAGGTTTTTGAAGGACGGCGATATACATATGTATGCATGTATGTACATATTTACATATAGTTGGAATTTAACCTTTCCCAAATTTTTTTAGTTTCATAAATTATTTTCTTATTATACTTTTTATTTAGTGAATTATTATTAACATTATTTTTAGCAATAACTATTTGTATTATAAGTTTTGGCAAAATCCATTTATATTTATTTTCACTTAATGCATTACAAAACTCTTAATTTTCTTTTTAGGAAAATATTGGACGGAAATATTAATAAATGATAAAAGTTATACAGAGATTATATAAATGGATTGGTAAAATTTTGCAAATATTAGATTTTAAAATCTCAAGTTGGAAAAATATCCTCATTCCGAAGATTTTCGCTATTATATTGCTGTAAAAACGTTTCTTTATACTTCATTTACTTAACAATTTCTAGAAATTTTTCATAATTCATAAAATTATTTAAATGTTTTCTATTGACTAATTAGTACATATGTACATTTAGATGTATGGATGTATATTTACAAGAATTCAAATTACAAAGCTATTTAAAATAAAATTTCTAAAATTTTGAACTAATTTAAGTTTATTGTAAGGTATACTTACATACTTAAATTTAAGTTCTTCATTTTACATCCAAAAGCCGATCTCCGAATGATTCACTCGAAAGTCAAGAAAATTAAAAATTAAAACAAGTTATGATTGTATTAAAATTATTAGGTCTAATCTGGTTTTTCCTTCGAAATAGTACAGAATAATTTCAAAAATTTCTACAGTTGCCTTAGATCTGATCTAAAAAATCTTCAATAAAACTGTTTTAGCAATATAATTTTCATTTCTTTGAATAAGTTTTGAAAGAGTTTTTAAGTAACTCGTGTAGATTTCAATATTTCTGGCATATTTTTTCAGTATTTACCAGTTGAAAATTTCCTATGACGGAAGTTTGAGTTTGGAAAGTATTAAGACTGGGGAGGTAGGAGCAGTTATAATTCTTTTAATAATATTTGACGTGAACTTGTTCACATTCACAGGTGAATATTTTATAAAGTTGTATTTCTATAACTGCAATTATATAAAAATATGAACAATTTTTGAATTATTGCATTGAAACATGAATTTTATGATATTATTTTCTTAAATTTTTAACAAGAATATTGCAACGAGTGTAATCTCATATGTCATATGGTAATATTTCACAACACTAGTTGATTTTACTCTATGGTATAAGGAAAGTTAATGATCGCATACTCTATTTATAATAGATTTTTATTGAATATAATACACATTCATTTTATAAACATACATACGTACAAGTATTTTAATAATTTCAATATGTATCAGTATAGCATTAAAATGTACCAGCTGATATTTTCTTGAAGGCAATATGCATACCTAGTTGCTAAACAGTACATTTTCAATTATATGTACACAAGTTCTATAAAGCTTAAACTCATTATTACCCTCACCATTTTATATTCCAATTCAAATAATATTGTGTATAAAAAATTGTATTTCTATATGTACATAATCGTTTTTGTGTACGCAATGCAAACACTGATATAAAAGTATCTTAAAAACGTATGTACATACACATACATATGTTTTATGCTGTTAGTAAATTATGAGAGTATCTTTTGTACAATTGTATGTTATAAATTTCAACGACGACTGTACATGAGTTTTATGATTTCATTTCAATATACATATTGAATCTAATTGTACATTTACGTGTATGCTAATGGTGTTAGTGTGTTACACACAAACTCATCAATGATTTAAATATAAATAAATTTTAACATATAATATGAAAATATACAGTGGAACAAACAAAAAAGAAGGGCACTATTAAGAAAAAATAGCGAAAAATAAATGCATAGAAATTTTTTTTAATTGACTTATTCTTTATGTTGAAATTGGAAGAATTTTGAATATTATTAGCACCACCAACAGATCTTGCAAATTTATTTTTATTAAAACGATTTGGTTTTTGGCTCCTGCTGAGTGCTAGGTTGCTTACAGTCAATTCTTAAACAAATTTCTACACTCAGAAAAATTTTACTTATAAAATTACCATATATCGAAACACTTATATATACAGTTATAAGTTTATACGATCTTATGTTTGTGTTAATTTGAATACACACATACACATATGTATGTATGTGTTAAAATTTTACACACATCAATATTTTATATTCATAAATATTATTTTTTTATTTTAAAATCAATTGTATTTTTTTTTTCAATTATTTTGTACTAGCTATTCTTATTTTTATTATTATTATTTTTCTGTATTTTTGAAAAATAAAAATCCAATATACGTAAAGAAATCCTGGTTTAGTTTATATTTGATATTCAAACAAGAAAGTTGACATAATAATATTTATTAACAAAAAATAAAATAAAATTAATAATAATATATATAAAAAGAAGAAGATAATTTTAAATTATAATAATAAATCTTAGATTAATATAAATTAATAAATTTTTAAATTTCTATCCCTATAAAATAAAATCTTTTCTAATTTTAAATGCAATATTTTTAACGTGAATAATAAAAAATAAAAATTAATTATTAATTTTTAATAAGAAAAAAAATAATAGTTATTTTACATGGAAATAATAAATAAAATATCGTAGCGTTTAATTAAATATAAAAAAAATTAATTATAAAAATATTTTTTTTTATTTTGTTTATTTTTTTTTTACTTAATTTTTTAATTAACTTTTTATAATTTTTCGTATTGGAACCAATTTGATCGTCTTTTTTGTGGTTTTATTTTTTCTTCTTGTAAATTTGCTTTTTCTGTAATAATTTCCTTTTTTTTCTCAAATAAAAAAAAAGTATTTCTTAAATAGTGCAATAGTTTTATGAAAATTTCAATTTCAATGAAATTTTCTTTGGTTCCATTTAAAAGAATAAAAAATTAATTTTCAACATTCCATAAAAATAAAAAAATTCAATTCATCAAAATCAATAAAACAATTACCAATAATGTTTGCAACAATGTAAGTTTTATTTTAATTAATAAAAAAAAATATTTTTGAATTTTTTAAAATTTTCTGGATTGTAGCTACATAGATATTGAAAATTTTTTTACTTTTAAAGCTTCAATAAAATGAAAAATAAAAATGGAACTGTAAATGAAATATATTTGTACATTATGTTTGTGTACATGAAGAACATAAAATTTTATGTTATATACATACATAAATACCTATGAATAATATAGATACGTTATGTTATACACAAAATAGTAAATTAAGGCCTATAGGTATAAAAAATTAACAGTAAACATAAAATGAATGTATGTTGTTCTAAATAATTTTGTATTGTGTGTAGAAATAATTGGGTAGGGAATACACTTATTGTGTTTGCAGGTACAAAATGTTATTAAGATTTTTGAAAATTTAAAAAAAAAAAACATTAAAAATAGCATTAATTAGTAAGAAAAACAGTATCTAATAAGTAGATCTACAAAGAATAATTATTCATAGGAATTATAGATTATTTTCGAATTTTATAAATTCGATATTTTGTACATATAATTTTGAGAAAAAAATATAAATTTTCTAAACAAAGAAAATACATACATTTGTATTTTCTAAATACATGCGTACATACATACGAGTATATGCTGTACCTACTAAACATACATATATAATTTTTTCAATAATGCCAGGAGTTTCATGTATTCTGTATACATAAATGCATGTGTATATATTCGTAAACAGTACATACTCGTATGCAATACATTTTTAATAAAGTTGTGTGAATTTCGAAAAAAAAGTCAATATATTGATGGGGAAACCATTTAAATAAAAAATAAATAAGTATAAAACAATTTTCCAATTATAAATTTTATATTTTAAACAATATAAAATAAATAATTAAAAATAGAATTTTATATTTTTATTAAAATTTTGTATTAAAAATAATTATTTATTATTATTATTATTATTGTTATTATTATTATTATTATTAAAAATTAAAAATAATTATAAACAGGCAACATACACACACACAACACACAATATTTTCTTATGCGCACACAATTAAATTTATGCTCTGAAGTTTATATGGGTTTGTATTACAAATACAATCTTGATTCTTTTATGTATGCATATTGCAAATAAAGAAACATAGTGTTGTCGCATCGATTATTAAAAAGGCAAGAAAATTTTTTTTTTTTGGCAACTAAAAAATATTCTCAAAAGTAATTGAAATCTTAAAATTGTTAAAAGGTTTTTTTGATTTTTTTTAATTCCCAAATGCATGTTTATGTATGTATGTATACAAAATTTTCTTTTAAATATTCATGATTTTCAAATAAATTATTTTGGCAATGCCAATAACAGTAGACTCTAAAAGAAGAAGAAAATTTAGCTAATTGGAATTAAAAATTTTTTTTACATCGATGGCTTTTTTCTTATTTTAATGAGAATTACATACATGTATATTTACATTTTACATATTGACATTAAAGTGAATACATGCATACATGCAATACAAACAAGTAATTTGTTTTTTCTTACTTTTATTTCACCTTTTATACATATACAAGCATACAATTCAAATTGAGGTTGAACGAAAATATAAAAAAAAATTGCGTCAGACAAAAACTAGCTTCATAAAAAAAAAACGAAAAAAAAAAAACAAAAACTAGAATAAAAATAAAAAAAAAAAAGAGTTTCTTTTGAAACAAAGAAATTTTCAAAAATCTTATGAAATTACCATTGTAATTTTATAATTGATTTTTATAATTAAGTTTTGTTCAATATCCTATTATTCTGCTGTTTAAATCAAAATAATTTCTTGAAACACTGAATACCTTGGTTTTTGAAAAAATTGTTGAAAAATATTTCATTGAATTTTTCTATAGAACTATTAAAAATTTACCTAATTAAAAAACAAATAAGTTATAATACTTGCTTTTGATACACAAAAATAATTAGCCTGTACCCAAGTATTCTACACATAAATCCCTCCTCCTAATTATTAACAATTTCTTGAAAATTACTTTGAAAAATAAGTGTACATAAATAAATAAAATAAAAATGCCAAATTATAAACTAAACATAAAAATCATGTTTAAAAAATATTTATTTTAAAAAATAAATTAGCTTTATAATATTATTTTTCAGACTTACCGTTGTTAGAGCAAGCCAATATTATTAAATACATTCAATTATTAATAATGCAGCTTTTTTCCCTTCAATTCAGGCGTAATATCATTTTAACCCTAATGAATTTATTCCTCTTTCGATTGGAATTTTCAATTGACCTCACAGTAAAATTCAGTATGTACAAATTGCAAACACTTAAATTGTACACAAACTATTAAATACCGTAAAATTCCCTATTCATTTTTTGCACCTGGCCCATAAAGTTTATAGCATAACCACCGTAAATATAAATTTTTTTTACAAATTTGGTTATTTGTATTTTTTTTTATTTTATAATTTACTTCTATCCTTTAAAATAATTCTTATCACTAAACATTTTTTGAGTCCTTGTATATAGAATTATTTTATGTGTAAACAAAAAAACTTGACGTGAGGTGATAAAACACCTATGAAGGCAAATATTTGTATAACAAATTTATACATTTGTTGAAATTGTTTAAGGTTTAATAAAGTTTTTTTTTTTTTAAATGACTTTAGCATTTCACTAAACTTTTATAATTTCATCATTTTACAATTTATTTCACTACAAATAATTATAACATTATTTAGCTAACGCAAATTTTTCTTTGTTTGAAGCGGCAAATTGTGTTTTGAGAAGTGGGTTATAGCGTTTATGAATTGTGTCAATTAAAAAAGGAAACGCTTCTCAAATCGCTCATACACTGTTTTAATTATTTTGTTTGCATATTACATACATAAATATTATAATAATAAGAGGAAAAGGGGACATGCAAAGAATATAATCGCAAAATTCCTTATTGTAAGGAATATTATAAAATTGATTGAATCGCGTTTTAAGTAATTATGTCCACATAATTAAGTTATTGATTCTCTTATTATCTACATTTCAAAAAGAAAAATTAGGGATGGCGAAATTAAATTATTTGTAGTTGTTCCTATCCGCGATCGAAATTTCTAATGTATTGCTAGGAATTTCATCATTATATTCTGTTACTAAGTGAACTAACTTTAAATATTGTTATAATTATGAATAAGTACACTTATGCTTTGTTTATTATTAGGTTTTCATTTCTTGTACAGGAAATTAATAAAAAATGTTTATTACCTTACGTACATAATATGTACATATGTAATTATGTACTTATGTACGTACTATATCTTTGTTAAATAAACAAAAAAAAAATGTTTGTACATAATTTTAGAAATCTAAACAAATTTACATAAATATTTACAATTTATAACTGTTTCATTATATGAAAATATTTTTCTTTTCTAAAAAAAAAACCTTAAATTACTTTTTTAATAATTTTCTTATTTTGTGCCATAAGTACACATAGTATACGCGTAAGTATATATTTGTGTAAATAATGTTAACGTTTCTAAAAAAAATGTCAAACATAAATAATATATACATACATTCATACATAGTGTAGGAAGAAGCAAATATAAATACAAAATTCATCCCTCTTGAAGTTTATGAAAATATTGAGAAAATTACCTTATCTATTTTTATATTATTGTTAAGTAGGGTCCTAGACAGAGCCATTGTGTATACTGGTATACATTATTATTACGCAAGTAATTTTTACTAAAAATATATAGTGCTTTGAATACTTTTAGTATTTTGTATGTACGAAACTATTTACTTGAATTATTTAAAGTTTTATATGTTAAATTATTTTGAAAAACTATTGTGCAAGGTATTTTATATCCGAATGAGCGTATAATCGAAGGGCATTATAAATTCGCCAACCCGTTTGTAAACTTAAAAAATAACAGTCTGCAATATAAACATACATATACCTATATATTCTTACTCTGTATCGAATTCTGAATTTTTGTCCGTCTTATAGCAATGTTTGTCCGTCTTATAGTGATGATAACATAAAAGTCGATAAAGCTTAGATCTATGCAAAATATTTACAAAGAGTTTATGGTAGTAAATACCAGAACCTTATTCAATAAAGAACTTGATTGAGGTTGTAGTTTAATCAGCTGCCGTGCGACTTCGTACTGGTATAACACAAAGTTGGCATGATCAAATATATTTTTTTTAATTTTTCAAAAAGTTTAATTTAATTTTTTTTTTTTTTGTTGAAATTGTTAAAATTTTCTTTGTTTGTTGAAAATACACTAAAGGTACAGTTTAAAATTAAAATAATTTATTTTGTATTTTTTTGTTTATTTTTTTTTCGTAATTTTATGTACATATATAAGCACATATGTGAATATGTTTGTGTGCATTCATTAGATGTCCATTGCCTTTTCTTCTCCTATTGTTGTCTATTATTTTCCCATTTGTTTAACTAAACTGAAATAAGAACACAAAGTTGAAGGATTTTATTATTTTTTTTTTTTACTTAAGGGCAGGAGGTAATTTGTAATTTTGATTTGTTTATGATGATTTTAAATAGTTTCTTCATTAATTGTTTTTCAGTTGTGACAACGAAAAAAGTAAAATGAAATAATTTATGTAAAATCTTGATAGGAGAGTGTATTAAAACGCTTGAATGTTATTTTTAGAATTTTTTTAATATAAATATTTAATTTGATTTTAATATGTATGTATGTTAGCTGTTTCTAAACGAGAAAAGAAGAATGTAATTAAAAAATTATAGAGCTCGTTAAATTTACGCTGTAAATGATTTTTTTTAAACATTAAATATTCAAAAGCTTCGATAAAGTTAGGCTTTCAAGAAACCTTTTTAAATAGCGCTTTCAGTTTTTGTTTTTCAGTAATTTTCAAAATGTTTGAAAATCATGAAATTGGGCCCAGAAATATCTGAAAAAATATACAATAGGGCCCATAATGTTTGCGCTGCAAAATTCTTTTAATTAGGCGGCAAGGTTTTAACAAATGT